AAAAAAAAAAAAAACTTGAATATCAAGTATAGAGATTTGAAACATGCACAGTGAGACACGGAGAACCATTGAAAGTTTTCAAGCAAGAAAGAGAAATTGTTAAAACAATTCTTTTAGAATCCATGTGTATAGCTGTCAAGAGGAAAGTTTGGGTCAGGTAGACCAAATAGAATGCTATAGAAAAATCTAGGAGCAAAGTGAGAAGGGTTTGTATTAGAAGGGTTATAATAGTAATGGAAAGGGAATCCTGGGAATACTACCAAGAAAGGGGAGACAGCACTTGGTGATTGACTAGAGAGTTAGGAAAGGGAGGTATAGAAAAGAGAGAACCTCAAATCTGACTCCAAAGTTTCAGTCCTGGATGATTTGGAGAATGACGGTGGTAGAACACACAGATGAGAATCCAGTCATCAGTTTGAGGAAGATAAATTCAGCTTCAAGAATTGGTGAGCATAAAGCAATCAGGAGCCTTCTGGTTAAGTGGAAATGTCCAGCAGGTAGATGGGCAGGCAATATAATTACTTTGACTAAATTTTAAATGCCACCTAGGCAATTGTATAAATTGAATAGGCGAATTGTTGCTGAGGGAAGAGAACAGAGTTTAAGTTAAAGTCTCAAAGTCATCACAGAGTTAGTGACTAGGAATGAACCTCGGGAATTTAGCAACTGGTTTTAAACACATGCCATTCCTGGATATGTTTCTGTGGTGTAATAATGTTTTTAAGTGTCAAAGAAGCACATAGGATAAAATGTGAAATTCCCCTCAGGATTAGTCTGAGTTGGATCCTAACAACAATCTCCTCCTCCCCACTGCTAAGGTGACCCCGTCACCATTTTCATAGGTGTCCTTCACTATCTTCACACTGCATGTATATACATGTTGTTGTTGTTAAGTGCAGTCTAGTTGGTTCTGACCCACAGTGACCCGCATAGTGTTTCTGAGGAACGGATGGTGAGCTTGAACTGCCGATCTTGCAGCTAAACAGACTTTGCAATCTAGCGCATTAACACAGTGCCACACCAGGACTCCAGATATACTTATATACATTGTTGTTGTTAAGTGCCATCTAGTCAGTTCTGACTCACAGTGACCTTGTATAGGGTTTCTGAGGAGCACCTGGTGGGTTTGAATCACTGACCTAGTGGTTGGAATTCCAGTGCTGATCCTACAGAGCAAAACCAGGAGTCCCACTTGTATACATCTATCTGTTGATACATACATTTTGTTTCTAATGAGATAATACTACTTGCTCAATGATTTGCATTTTTTTCACTAAGCAGTATGTCTAAGAGATCTTTCTCACATTGGTACATTAGTCCCTCTAATATCTAATTGGACTCCAGGTGTGGTGTTGTGGGATCAGCACTGGACTACAAGCTACAAGGTAGGCAGTTCAAATCCACCAGCTGTTCCACGGCACTTAGCAACAACAACAACAACAATCTCTAATTGCCTCTATCCTTCCTGGAGAGGTTTCAATGGTGGGCTCTTAGCCAGAGCTGTGGTGTTTCCTGGCAAGAATTTTCTTTCTAAACATTTGTTACTAATGATAAAGGAGAAGAAGAAATTGGGCAGATAGGAAGAATAGGTTCTGAGGAGATAGCCTTCTCTTGTCACTGCTTCCCCTCTCCCCACCTCCTGAGCCCCCCAGGGATTTTTCTTTTATTAATTGAGCCAAGCAGGCACAAGACAGCTGCAGAAATTAGAAAGCTGAGATTTTCTGCATTTGAATATTCTCTATAAGGTTGCCACAATTCTTTATACTCACTCTGTTCATTCTTATTCCTGCCTATTCAAAGATATGAACTGTGTTTCTTCACAGAGATTTCGAAGGAAACTCTATTTCTTACATTGATGAAAATATCTGGAAGGCATACCATTGGACTGAGAAACTGTGAGTATTTACTCCCTAAATATAAGTACAGAAAACAGTGCATTGTAAGCTCCTCCTTGTCCAGAATTTTGAGGTCAACACCTCTGATAAAAGATATTTTTTGCTTTGTTTCCCAACTCAACCGGTATTGATTACAATTACTGCAATTTTATGGTAATTTTTTAAATGAAGATTAATGAGTTCTTGTTCAAATAAGTAAGAGGTGATTTAAATTTATCTTTCATTTTATGTATAATACATTATTCTATTCTCAGTGTATAAAACAGAAATAACAGGTATAGTGAAAACCCTTCTTGTTCTCTAATCCCCTACTCCTGAAGGAACTGCGTCTCAAAGTTTGGTGTATATCCTTCAAGACCGTATTCCAGGAATATGCCTACACCCGTATTTACATATAGCAGAATAGATTTATTGTGTGGGCTTTTGTTTTGTTTTGAATACTTTTTTTTATCATGCAATACATTGCTTGATTTCTTGACTGTTGCTTGAATGAGTGGATCCAAGCAGAATGAAATCTTGATAAGAAGGCTTCTATCTTTTCTCCATTTGTCATGATGTTATTTAATGGTCCAGTTGTGGGGATTTTTGTTTTCTTTTCAGTCCATTCTAAGAGCCTGTATTAAAAAGCCTGTACTGAAAATGCATCAGTAAGTATTTTAAGTCTTTGCATGCTCAGCAAGCACGATTGTATCATCTACATATCATAGGCTGTTAATGAGTCCTCCTCCAGTCCTGACACTACATTCTTCTTCATATGATCTAACTTCTTGGATTATTTGCTCAGTATACAGACTGAGTAAGTATGGTGAAACAGTACATCCCTGCTGCACACCTTTCCAGAAACCATTCAGTAGCCCCTTGTTCTGACTTTGTGGTTCAAGACTATCTTGTGGTCCAGAGCTTATCCTACAACCTTGCAGTTCAAACCGACTTTTTTTTTTTTTTAAGGTTTTTATTGTGGATTGAGTGAAAGTTTACGGGGCACATCATCAGTTTCACATTCAACCATTT